AGGTTTATTTCTGTCATTAGGATGCAGCTTTATATAGCTTTTTCCCGTGTGCGACTGCATTACAATAATGCTAACTTTGTTTGGTATGTGCTGATTTTTAGACTTTGTGGAGTACACTAAAGATTTTTAAACTTTGGAAGAGCTTTAAGTCGTCTCAATGACATGATAAGGCACTAATAATAATAATACTCACTTTTGATATAGCGCCTTATCACGGGTTCGAGACATCTCAAAGCGCTTCACAGAATATACTGTAAAGTGAATTGAGTGTATATATTGTGGGCGAAATGCGACAGCCAATTGCGCACAGTAGTGTCCCACAAACAATTGTGGATTGAAGTGATCAATCTTTTTTCTTTTTTTAAGGAATTATTATCCTCGGAAAAGTGATCCGCCAATCAACTAACAACCGGGTTCCTACTTACTGCTAGGTAAACAGAGGCGTGTGGAGTAAGGAAACTTGCCCAACATTTTACCCTGCCAGGAATTGAACCCAGGTCTCTTGCTATATCAAATGCAATGATTACTATTTTTATTGCACTAGGGTACTTGATTATCTTTTGATACAAACCTATATAAGAACACACATTTATCAGCGAGTGGCTAGCTAGCAGGCAACTGTATCTAGAATTCAACAGCATGATACTGAATGATAATTATTTGGGGAGGACAAGTTTGCAGGGCGAGAGGGAGAGAGCGGGGGAATGGGATTGATTTGGATAGCTCTTTTAAAAGAGCGGGCACAGACACAATGGACCGAATGGCCTCCCTCTGTGTTGTATGATTCTATGAATGATACCTAGAATTATATGGAATGATAGAAACAGGCATTTTGGCCCATCTTAGTCCATGCAGTGTTTATACACACTGTGTTTATACTCCACACAAGCCTCTGCCACTCTTAATCTCCTTTCCTATCCCCCTCTATTCCCTCTGTATGTCTTCCAGGAAATTAATTGCAACAATTGGTGTACTTTCCTGTATTTTACAACAGTTTATAAAAGGAAGTGTTCTGTAAAACCTCCACACTTTAATGAACAATAAAATCAAGACAGCGATGTGGCACAATTGTCACAGCAGTAAAAGTCATCATGGCATGGACTTTATTACAAATAGAGAAAGGAAGATTCATACCCATTTTTATTTTCTTCCACTTATTTTCTTTTAGTCAAAGCACTTCATAGGAATTACTGTAACATTTAATGACCATGTATTTTAATGATTGTGCAGGCAAATGTAGCAGCCAATTTCCACACAGCAAAGTGCTACCTCATGTGAAGGTTGCTGTATAAATGCACGTAGTTGTATTGGAGTATTAGCCTGGACTCTGAGTTCAAAGTTCTGACATTGGGCTTAAACCCACAATCTTCTGACCCAGCAGTGAAGTGCTGCCAACTGAGCTAGACTTGCACCTAATTCACATTTTTCTTATAACTGCATAGACTGCAAACTCTGTGCTGAGTTAGCTCTTAGCCAGGTCAGCAGTTAGGAGTGTATGACTGGCATAATTGCTCGGTGGGTTTGGCAGGGACAATGAGACAAGGTTCTCACTTCTGATCACTATGTGTTGACCTGTGCTGAGAGGTGTATTTCCAGGTATTGGTTGACAACAGGAATGGGCTCAGTTCCATGATCAAATAGTTTGTTGACACTCGCTGTCTAGGATTACAGAGCAACATTCGTCACTTAGTCAAGGTTACTGGAGTTGGTTACTGCCCATTGATCCATACCCCATAAAAGTGCAAGCTTCCGGAAAATGAATGGGAAGAAAATTGTTAAAAAAATAAAAAGATCTCTCTCTCAATAAAATACAATTGATACAAAAGGCTACAGGCTTCTTCATAGCATTTTTGCAGCCCCTTTAAGTTGGTGGGAACAATGCGAGGATATGGTGGCACTACCTTCTCTTTGAAGGTAAATTAAATAGGCCTGTTTCCCAATGTGATATCTGTGTTATGGCTGAAAGAATAGTTTGCCTTTTAAAATATCTGTGATTATCTGCGTTTGTTTCTGTCATTTAAAAAGCATAGTAGACTTGGAAGAATCTGACAATTGCTGACCGACTGTTGAAACAGTTATTTGTATTTATTGTAAAATTTATAGTGGAATCATTGTTAGCAAGAAATTGCTGGCGACACAACATAGCCTTCAAGGAGCACGCGTTTGTGTTTTTTTTAATTTTCTGACCTGTATAAGATTTGAAGCAATGCTGAATTTCTGCTGAAATTGATAGGGTGCTTGGTATTTTCCTCAAATATTTCATATATTCACATCAGAGTGAAGAAGTGACAAACTAACAAAGGTGATTCTCGTTTATAAAACGGCTTTTCATAAAAAAAATCAAATAGTCAAAGAAACCCTCAATAGGATTAATTCTAATAGCAAAGCTTTTCACTTGTGCTTGGAACAAAAAGTATCTGTTTCACTTTTAAACTTGTGCATAAAGTACATTCAGTTAATTTATGTGCAGTAAGATCCACATGAGATCTTGAGCCATCAGTGCCACATGTGATTGAGGATTGACTAGCTCTTCTCTAATCATACCAACAACAACAAATTAGAGTTGTATAGCCCTTTCACATCAGGAGGACGTCCCAAGACGCTGGATAGTCAGGGATCAGCACCCGAGCTGGTGGTTGGGAACAGGAGGGGTAGAGGGCAGGGAGGGTACGAATAGGAGAGTGACTGAAGGCACAGTCGAAGAGGAGGGTCTTGAGATGGGTCTTGAAGGAGGGAAGGGGCGAGGCGGAGGGACTGTGGGATGGAGTTACATGATTTCATAATCATGTACTAAAATTCAAAATATAGACTGCAGCTGAGCTTATTTTACTAATTCATTGACGTCTTCCTCAGACATGATTGTGGACGGGGACTTGTGCAGTCTAGGAGCTCAAGTTTCTGTTCGAATCACTCCCTTTGCTATAGGTGACCAAAAGTTGTTATCAGTTTATATGTTACCTGTAATGAGGAATTTTCTTTTCTCAATTGCCTGGGACTTGCGTTCTCCAGTCCTTGACACTGGGATAAAGTCACTAACAGGAAGGAGTTGACTGCACTCCAGAAGTGTTCTATTAGATTAATGGGGCAGGTGCTTTGGATAACCTTCAAATCCTCTGAGCAAGAACCTGAGGATCCCAGGAACCAGTGAGTATCCAGGTCAATCTAAAATGTCTACCCACTTAGAAACAGTAAGAGTGTCACTTGGGAGTTGATCATTGATCCATTTAGCCTATCCATCATTCTTCCCAAATGATTTCTTCAACATGTCTGTCTCACCATCTAATAACCCTGAATCTTTTTAATTTCCAGCAACTTGTCTTGTAGCTTTATGGAACACTTTGGGTGCTGGTTCCTTGTTCACAACGTTTGCAGGTAGTTTGTTTCATATACCTGTCCCTTTACTTAAACAAATATCAGGCACATCAGCTTCTCGTTTGTTGTCCTTACTTTGAAATAAATGGAGCATCTCCCAGATGTGGCTAATGTCTCCCCACAACTTATAGCCTGAAACTATGAAACGATATTTCTCGGACACTTGTGTGCGATTACAGTGATTTTAAACTAGTTTCGGTGGCAGAATATAGGTTGAAGGTTGCAATTTCCCACAGTTTCTTAAAAATACTCACTATTCCTACCACTCCATCCAAATTCCACCTTCTATTGTTTGTGTAATTGTGCTGGTTGAATGGACATTGTGATACCAAACACTTGACTGTCTTGATCAGTAATGTGATAGCAAATAAACCTTAAACAATCCAGGAGATATATCTGAGCTTGTATATTTCAGTTATATAGTGCCATGGGATGAATGATATAACTGAAATATCCTTATGTAAACCAAGGTGGACATTAAAGATCTCATGTCATTATTTGAAAAGAGAAGGGAGTTTCTCCTGGTGTCCAGGCTAACAATCTCCCAAATAAAATTGATCACTCACTCCATGGCTCTTTGTGGGACATTGCTGTGTGCAACTGGCTGCCAGGTTTCACCCACAATATACATAGTCACTCCACTTTACAGTATATCCTGTAAAGTGCTTTGCGATGTCTCAATGAAGTGATAACCCGCTATATCAAATGCAAGGATTATTATTACTAGTAGTAGTTATTTGGGTGATAAAACTGAAATGCATTGCACTGTTTTCATGCTGTTGAAACCATTTTAGCATTTTATTTTGGTAGAATAGGAGCTAAATGGCTAAAATGTGTCTCCAGGCTAGCCTGACTACAAGCGATGATGTTTTCATTGATCTCTACTGTATTTGTTACATCAAGGCTCGATTATGCTAACTTTCTGCTTGTCGACCTTCACAACTCTTTGCTCCACAAGTTGCATATCATTCAGAACTCTGCATCTCATGTCCTCTCCCACACCAGGCTCCATGACCCTGTCACCACACCATCGCCCAGCTCCCTCTGTTCCCCATCCCTAGGGGATAGAGTTCAAAATCCTCATCATCGCTTTCAAGGCCCTCCACGGCCTTGCTCCTTCTTACTCCTGCTAATGCCATATCAACCTGTTCGCTCTCTCCACTTGGTAGGTTCCGGCCTCCTCCAAGTCGCCTGCCCAGCCCGCCTCACCATTGGCGGTTGGGCCATCAGCCTCTCTACCCCCATCCTTTGGAACTGCATCCAACAGTCCCTTCGCCTTGCTCCCTCCCTTGCCTCCTTCAGGCACATCTCAAGACCTTCTTCTTCGACTGTGCCTTCGGTCACCTTCCTACCCCTACCCTCCCTGCCCTCCATCCTCCCTTATCCCAAACCCCCTCCACTGCTAGTGTCCAAATGCCTGACTATCCAGCAGCTTGGAATGTTCTCCCAACATGAAAGAGCTATACAAATGTAAGTTGTTGTTGTTGTATTAATGTTTAATGTAAGTGATACAGCTATTATACGTGATTTGCACAACTCACCTAATAGATCCTGATTTTTTTTTAAAAAAGGCATTGTCCTGGAATTTCTGAGAAATTAATTAAAAGAAATCTGTACTTTCCATGTAGACTTGGGACGTGGAGCTGGAGAGATCGTCAGAAGCTTGGGCATCAACCTGCCGATGGGAACACGGACCTGGTTACCTGCTACCATCAATAGGACAGAACCTTGGTGCTCACTGGGGAAGGTATTGTGTTTAACACCTGACTCCAATAAATGAGACCATAGTGTTTGACTTTTCCAGGATTAGATTATCACAATTCATTTTAAATCCACAGGTACCGGCCCCCCACATTTCATGTCCAAGCATGGTATGATGAAGTCAGAGACTACGTGTATCCGTACTCTCAAGAATGCAATCCTTGGTGTCCTTTCAGATGCTCTGGACCCGTGTGTACGCATTATACTCAGGTACACTTTGCGTTCGGTGAAACCTTCAATTTGCCTCTTGGTTTCTGTTTTAAGTAATTTTAATTGTAGATCAATTCTCGGAGCTGAATAGCACAGCGGGCTAATGACAACAACTTGCATTAATGTAGCAACACCAACAACAACACTATATAACAATACTCAGTGACTTTCAAAGGGGAGAACTTCTCAAAAGTGTTTTACTGAGGTGAGCTGGGATGGAGATGAGGGAGTTGGTGGCAGATAGCAAGGTCAAAGAGGGAAGTTTTTAGTCTGGTTTTGAAAGTGAAGAAGGAGAGAGCGAGATGGTTGGATTTCAGAAGAGAGTGGGGCAAAATGGTTGAAAGCTCATTCACTGATGGTGGGACAGAGAGTCCAGGGTGCATGAAACGAGCCATATTTGATGGAGCATAGGAGTGGGTAGGGAGTAAGATCATAGGAGATTGCTTAGGTAGGGTGGTGCAAAGTCATGTTGGCATTTGATGATAAGGATAAGGATTTTAAAGTTAATCCATTGGACAATAGAGAGTGAGTGCAGCCTGGTGAAGATGGGGGTGATGGGCTTGTAGAGTCTTGTGTGGAATAGAATATGAGCAGTAAACTTCTGGACTCTGGTGAGCAGGTCATTGGAGAAGTCATGCCTGAAGATGACTTAAGGCGTTGGATGAGGGTTTTTTGCTGTGTTAATGGTGAAGTAATACCCAAAGTGGACAACATTAAAGAGATGGTGCTAAGCGGGCTTAGTCAGGGACAGGGTAAAGAAGAGGTGAGGGTTGAACAAGCACTGATATTTCCTAGTGGCACCCTGGACTGGAGTGAGCAACGGAGGACATTGGGAGAAACTCCCTTCTCTTTTCAAATAGTGTCATGGGTTCTTTAAAGTCCACATAAACAGGCAGAAGGGACCTTGGTTTAATGTTTCATCAAAAGAATGGCACCTCTGACAATGCAGCATTTCCTAGCACTGCAACGGAATGTCAGCCTAGACTACATGCCATTTAAAGTCCTGACTTCGGGCTTGAACCTGCAACCTTCTGACTCAAAGTGATAGCAACTGAGCCAAATTGATACCAATATTCTGGTCACCGTGAAATCAATTGAAAGTACATTTCTAAAGTATTTGAGGTCCTGAGAGACAATTCAATGCATCACTTTGCTTTTATATTGTCTTTTCTCTAGGTAGTATGGGCAACAAGTAACAAAATTGGCTGTGCCATCAACTTATGCACCAACATGAACATCTGGGGTCAGGTCTGGCCTAGAGCAATTTACCTGGTTTGCAATTATTCTCCCAAGTAAGTATATTTGAAAGTATCCATACCTACGAACATCTATTATCTTGGTACACAGGAGAAACTCAGGAGAAAATCATAAAACAAGTTTTTTTTTGTGTGGTACTACACTCACCAGTTGCACAGAAATAACTATTTTGAGAGTATCATCAGTTACATTGCCCCATAAATACTATACTCAATCCTTGAAACCTATTTTAGGTTTCTGGTCAATGATCAGACTGTGTGGAAAAAAAAAACTTGTGCAAGGGATGGTAGAATACTTAATTCAAGTGTGTTTCAATGTAAAATGTTCACAAATTTCTTATGTAATGTGACCTTTTCTCAACGTATGTTGTTATTCCCAGGGGGAATTGGTGGGGCCATGCACCTTATAAATATGGGCGTCCATGTTCTGCCTGTCCACCCAGCTATGGAGGAGGATGTAGGGAAAATCTATGTTACAAAGGTAATCTAGCTTTCTTTGGAAAAAAATCTGTTTGTAAGTAGTGAGACCAAGACTGGTTTTATGGTTTTGCACCAGTGTGCCTGGATAGCCTGAACCCAGGCCTCGATAGGAGTGCTGTGGTGCTGAATTGACCCTGTAACCTCAGTCATTTCACATCAAACTGTTCTGTTTACACTCGTGTTTGTTTGACATACGGGTGGGAATGTAGGGTAAAAATATCCCAAGTGTATTGGAAAATTATCAACTATATTGGGTTTATATGGAATACATTGATAGTGGTTTAAACTTGTAATTGGCTTTGCCAGCTTTCATTCTTGTACAAATGGTGACATTTCCCATTAGTATGGCAATTTGCAAGAGCCTATCATATATAAACCAATGTAGTTAAATATTAAAATCATTTAACAAACTAAGGGGAATTTGAAACCTAGTTTCACAGAAGACTAAGACCTTTTCAGTGCCTTTGAAAGGTTTGTTGTCCCTTGCCAATTTATGACTATATAAGGTCCTAAGTAAATATCTCATAACTTGCGTGTATCCCTTGCTCTCTGGAACTCCATCTTTACAACCTGCTCCCCCTTCCCTCAACTCATTCAATGTCTGTCTTAAGACCTAGCTGTTTGATTTTGCTTTTGGTCATCTTTCCTCTCCCCACCCCTTTCAAGCTCGCACCCTCAGCTCGGGTGCCAAGCCAGGATTGTTGAGAGCGTTGGGACATCCTCCCAAAGGTGCTATATAATTGTAAATTTGTTGTGCAATTAAAAACTTGCCATATTTGGTTCTGTTTATTATTTAAAAAATTAACTGTCCATGATGTGTAAATTCTATTAGATATTTTTCAGATAAATTTACGTTAGTTTCTATCAACCAGAGCTATCTTCCCGTTAAAAACGTAAGCATCTCAAATAGTTTAAACCCAATGGCATAAATTTGGACCAAGAGAATGTTCAAAAGTAAGAACATTCAAATCAAAGTCATATCAGACCCCTAGAGTCTGAACAACAGGAAGTAATTACTGAGGAGAAGACCATTCATCCCATTGATCTTAAACTTGTGGAAGCTCATGTATCAGTGCTATTTACTCTAATCTCAATTCTCTTCTCTTTACCCATTCCCTTTCATATTCTTCCTCTTCAAATGATTATTTAATTCCCATTTAAATGTTATGCTACAGCAGATGTGGCCTAACCAGGCACATCTCTGCTGGCAACCTTTAATTTAAAGTGTCTGTGTTTCCCAGATCTCCCATTGTCTGTTGCCAGAATGAAGTAGCCTACAATGAAACAATACAATAACATCCTGTGTGTGATGGGAAGACAGTAGGGTAGGTTTTCAGGAAAATAAGATTGAATAGGCTGAAGGCCCTTCTTTATCCAAACCAATAGAAGTGGCACAGCTCACCACCTTGGGGTTACAGGCCACACTGTAGGAGGTGATAGTATAAAAGAATAGTTAAAATGTGACCTTTTCATTCTTGTATTTGATATAGTGCTTAAAAAGACTCATGGTATTTCTCAAATCATTGCTATGAAGTGTACTGGCTGTGTATTTGTAGCAGCTAACAGTGCACAGCAAAGTCTCACAAACAGCTATGAAGTGAATGTTTATCTGGAGGACTGTTTATGTGTTGGCACCAAACCACAACAATGTTGTTGAGATTAGTTCACTGCAATTGTTTATGGCTAAATATTAGACTGAGAAACAGTATTAAACAAGCTTTGTGCTCATCCTGTCCTGCACACTATACAGTGTGATGGGCGATTTCAAGTTTGCACAAGATTTGATAATTTTGGAGAAACGTCAATAACAGTGGGATTCAGTATTTCTCACTTTTGTTTCAACTTGAAGAGGATGGCGCCGAGAAGCACTTCACTCCTGAACCAGAGGAAGAAACCAACGAGGTTGAGCGACAGAGGACAAAAGCTCGAGCACGAACACATCAACCAACAGATTCCTCAAGAACGGATGTCACTGACATGAATGAGGTTATAAACACTGAACAAATGTGTAAGCAAACTCTTACTATTTTAGCTGCTTACTATTGTAATTGCTAAGGTATTCTCATTCTCATATACACGGGCTTTTCATTCACTTCTCACTAGCTTTAGCAACATTTTTCTTTCATGTTTGTAATATGAATTAAATTAGAAAATAAGTGCATGCCTGATGTTTTGCTGAAGATTTGAGGTTTGTAAATGACTTGAAGTTATCGCAAGTATTTTGAGGGCATTAATTTCCTTTTCTCAGCAACTAGTGAAAATAGTTAGAAATAAAGTTTTTCTAAAAACAACTTGTTCTCCTTGTGACCTCTTCTCCAGCCCAGTTGTTGACGTGTGAAACCAAACTGCGTGACCGATGCAAAGGGACAACTTGTAACAGGTGAGAAGCCAGGGCAACAACCATTTTCTCTTCTGTGTAACGATATCAGTCCACGTAGAAGCTGATTATCCATCCTAGCAGAAATAGTCCTAATTTATATTTTTGCTCCGTCAGATGCCTGATTCTTGCAGAAATTCATCACCATGTGTAAGAGTACACAAACCAAACCGAAAGTTCTAAATATGTATGCCACCTACACATGGAAATTTTTACTGTGTCTCTGAACTGATCTGGTATTGGGCAAAGGTTAGTGAGAGTTGAGGCTTGGGAAACCCACAGTGTGTCTTAGGATACTGCTGGCACACTCTGGAGTACCCAAGCGAAGTCTCTTACCGACCTACACCTAAATATTCCCTGGAAATCCCATGGCTGTTATTATAAAATCTTCATTTCTGTGACCTGACTAGAGAAATTAAATTTTTAAAAAGAAAAATCTTTATGTTGGTGATCAAGTTTATACTGATATAAAGGTCCAAAGCTCATGTGTAAAACTTTCTAAGAGTAGAAGTCATAAAGTTATCAGTTTGTTCTTCCTGCTCTATATATATCACCAAAATAGCGAAGAACACATCTGTTATTCCTATTTCAGATATGAATGCCCAGCTGGGTGTTTAGAGAGTAAAGCTAAAGTTATTGGAACTCTGCATTATGAAATGGTAAGTAATGCAATAAAAGGTGACTCTTTCTTGCTGGAAATTGTATAGCTGCTAATCTTGGAAATTGCTCTAGTTTACAATTTTAAAAAAGCACTGGACATTTACTGAATCTCTTAATCTGTTTAACAACTCATTTTTGATATCTCTTGATGTTAGTTCCAGAGTCATGTATTGGATCTCGTAAATCATAAACCATTCTTTTATTCCTTGCTTTCCTTCATGCTATTATACTGGAGTATCAGAACTGAAGATACTGACATATTGGGAACTATTACTAACCCATGTAAGGCCTGAAATTCCATCTTAATGTTTATAATGTTAGTAATTGAATTTGGAGGGTAAAATAATGCAATTTACCTAAAAAGCCTAAAATTCCATCGGGCATTGTTATTGGCATAAAAATATCCAGTTGGAGTGGGTGTTCGATGTGTGAAACCACATTATTGTATTCCAACATTGGATTGGATGATTGAAACTTCCGTGGGTGTCAACATTCCTCCAGGAACACATACTACTTTTGCTGACCCTGTAAAATCCGAGTTTGTGTGAGACCCAAGGAGCTTGTAACTTTTGCCTTCCTGTCAGCTACTCCTGTGGCATTGCCTAGTACTCAAACTAACTATTGCCCGACGTCCGGGGCAGATGGCCACTTCCAACAATAGCACTCAAAATGGGTAGCCTTCCATTCAAGTGGGTGGCAGGAAATTGGAGGTGGAAATGCTCCAGGCAGCTTGGAGGAAGGTATGATATACTTCAAAACCACCTTGACTGAGGACCAATGAAATATTCTCCACCTTAAGGATGCACCCGACACTGAAATCTGACTGAGAATAATAATAATATTCCTTACATTTGGTATAGTGCCTTGCACGTTGGGAGGATGTCTCAAAGCGCTTCACAGGATATATTGTAAAGTGTAGTAACTGGTGTTTGTAGGCAAAACACAAAAGAAGGAATATAAGTTACCTCAAGTGACCTCCTCTGCTCCGCTCCATCTAGACTGATTAACTGTGTGTATGTTATCCTTCTCTAATGTTTTACCCTTTTTTTCCCCCAGCAATCAAGTGTGTGTAGAGCTGGAATACATTACGGAGTGTTGGACAATGAAGGTGGCTGGGTAGATATTACCAGACAAGGAAAGAAACCTTTCTTCATAAAAAACAACAGGAATGGGGTCCAGTCGATTGGGTAAGAATTGGTGACTCCCAATTGTAAAGCACAAAAATCTTATTTTATCATCATCATTATTCTTATTCTTCTTATTTATTATTATTATTTTGATTTTGCAATCAGAGTTTGACGACAAATCATACTATAAAATAGCTGGTTTTCCCAACAAATTTCCAAAGATCCTACTTGGAATCAGATCTCTTATTGTTTCTGTATACAAGAGCTTGAATTCCACAATGACAAGTTGAAGTGAGAAAACGGCAGACTTGGTGATGTTGCCTGCAGACACACAAACTATGCCTTAGGACTGCATTGATAAATCATAGAGCCACATGTGGCACATCAAGGGTCTCGTGTGGTTCACAGCCACCTCAGCTTCAGCAGAAGCATACGCCTTAGATAATTCCTGCTGAAAATTGCTTACAGAGACATGTACATGACTATTTAAATGCATTATATGTATGCTCCCATCTATTCTATAGTCAGCTTTTCAAATATTCAATTGAAAGGATCATCTAAAATAACATTTGTCCGAATAATCAAACAAAAGAAGTATTCAATTGATGTTTATTTGAGTGACAAAGTAATGACATGGATTTGTATATTAAATGCACAATTCCCAGAAAGTGTTTTCCATGTATTTAAATAAATATAACTTGCACTTCAAGATGTCTCTACTCTCTTTGTATGTAAATGAGCATCAGTTGAATAGTAGCAAGTTGCACATGCAACTGTACAATGTCAATGGCTTGTTTGCAAGTGAATTCGAAAATTAACAAATGATTGCATAATTGCTGCAAGTTTGAATTAGGTGCGGAGTATTTGAAAGCACCCAGTGTTTTTGACGTACGTCAAAAAGTGTTTTTGACGTACTCACACATGCATCTCTGGAGTATCATTTTTCAACTGGCTCAAACTGTTTTTCATGAGTCACACATGTGGCTCAGTACAAGTCTGAGTTTGACAACATCTTTCCAATGTTAAAGGGTCTGTATAAATGTAAATTTGTATTGTAACTTGTATTATTATTTTGTTTTAGCAAATACAAGCCTGCCAATTCATTTACCATCTCAAAAGTAATAGGTTAGTCGCTTTAAAATACAGTTCTCATCAGCTTTTATCGACTTGATTGTAGCAGATTGGACTGTGTATTGTTAGTAACTCCATCTGTTTTCTCCAGTTCGATCTGCTGACTGCCAGACAAAAGCGAACCAGATGTGTACATTCACCAAACCAGTTTCACACTGCCCAAGGTAAGAAGAAAGCGCAAGAATGATTGAGACACTACCTCAGAGTTTTATTGTTTTGGCCAACAATCCTTCTGATAAAAATGCTCATTCATTTCATGGCTGTTTATAGAACATTGCTGTGTCCGAATTGGCTGCGGTTAGTATTCACCCACCAAACACACACTGACTACACGTTACAAGTATACTCTGTGAAGCGCTTTGAAATATCTTGATGACTTTATAAGATGCAATATCAAATTATTACTGTTATTTCATTTTCACAATTTCTGCAGCTGAAAGGTTGGGAGTTTATCTGTTTCAGGTTATTTGTGCTATTACATTACTATTATAATCTGTTTCAACTAATTTGTTTTAAACGTGATAATGTTACATACAGCGGAATCGCATTATAATGCCTTTTTATTTTGTTGGTCAGCCATGTGGCTGACACAAGTAGAAACTCTTCACCATGCTTAAGAGTATCCAAACCAAACAGAATTTCAGGCATCCCATCTATACATGGAAATTCCAGAGGTGTTTATTGGAATGGAATACGCACACTCTCCCTGGAGGGACGCATCCTGTTTTACTAATTCAGCAAAGTATTAGGTGCAAATTGGCACAAGGCTTGAGGACCCAGAGTGTGCGTTGGGGTAGGAGTCTATCCAGTTGTAACCGTATAGCTTGCCATTAATATTGCTGGCTTGTAAGCTTTCCCACACTATCCTTTAGAGCTTTGGCTTGCAGGGTTAATAGGGTTAATCTGCTCCATCCTCGGCGGCTGTGCCTTCAGCCACTATGCCCCGAGGCTCTGGAACTTCCTTCCTCACTCCCTTCGCCTCATCCCCTCTCTTCCTATTTTCAGGTCTCTGCTGAAGACCTTTCTTTTCGACCGCGCCTTTGGTCACCTTCCGGCGTGGAGGGCGCTATATAAATCCAAGTTGCTGTTGTTGAACTGAGTGAGAGGAAGTCCCTATCACCATATGTGCAGAATGAAGGGAATGACGTTAGTGGCACTTGTTGCGTGTAGCGTGAAACCCACAGGAAGAGACATCAGCCGTGACCTGACATCTTTTCAAGCCTTCCGGCTGAAGAGACATTGGAGTCAGGTGACCGTGCGAAAAACAAGGTTTTGTTGTGCTAAGGGATGAGGAATTCCTTGCATCACTGAGTGCGGCAACTTTGACAATATAAACTGGCACTCAGTGTTTTGCCTCTTCATAATGTATACTTTGCAACTCACCAGACTTGGCAGCATGAGGAATTTCTTGCTTCAAATTGTTTGGTTAGAGATTTCTTATGGACACAGTAGAATTGATATGATCCAGAGCGTAAAATGGATGTAAATTCATCAATGATGATTTTGAGAAACACAATTTTATTAGCGCTAGGCCTGGTGAGGAGGTAACTGCAATTGTCCCTCCCCAACTTCAAATCCCGCTTAAAGACCTTTTTTAATTGTGCTTATAGTTACTTCCCTGTCCCCTAGGCTCATTTTCACATACCACCACTGTGAAGTGCTCCAGGACTCTACCCTGCATGAAGAGCGCTATGTAAAAGCAAGTTGTTGTTGTTACAGTCAGATTTTAACAATGGTCAAGTCTACTCACAATCCATTTGAATGGTAGAAAGTGAATAATCTGTGAGTGCAGCTGTGCAGTGCGGAATCCTTGGAGTTCAATGGCTTGCTGCCGACATCGCAAATAAAGTTGAAACTTTGGCTTCTGGGGGCGTGAGCCCAGCAAGTGTTTCTGCAAACAGCAATAAAGTGGCACAAATGTCATTTGTGGTGTAGGAAGTCAGCCTTGCAACGTACAAATCAACACAAACTGTAAATAGATGAATTTCTCCCTTTACCACTGCAGTAAAATAATGTTCCTTTCCCGATGTTAAACCAACCTCAAATGCTTCGGTGTTCACCACTGCCCATCACTCATTTCATCCTCTCAAACCTAGCTCCATGTCTAATAATTGCGATTCTAACAAAATGGATTGCTGGGAGTTGAGTGATGCTGTTCCATTGCAATCCCCTCATAACAGTGTTCACCTACAAGTATACAGTTGCAAGATACAATACAATACAAATTTATATTTATAAAGCATCTTTCACATTGGGAGGACATCCCAAGGAACTTGACAATCCTGGCTTGGCTCCCAAACAAGATCACAAGGTTGATTTGGGTTAAGAAAGCCCTTTGACTCATCTGATCTCATCTTTCCATAACACCCACCCCATTTTCTCCCCCCCCCTCATCCCCACCCCCAACCATCACAGCATCAGATTGCTTTTTAATTGAGCAATGAACTTCACAGTACAAATCCTGTGAAGCACTTTGAGACATTTCAATGAGGGTGCTGTAATAAATGCAAAGATTATTATAATATCTATCTGTTGGATGCTAAATGTTCCAAAGACAAGAATGTGAAGGGCGTGACAATGCAACCTTTCAGTAGATCCATTCCAAATCCAGGGACATTGCACTTTCAGACCATCTGCTTGCATAGTCTCAAGACTCTCAAATTGAAGACCCATTCACTACTCTATTCTCCTTGCTCTTCCTCAGATCGATGGTCTGAGCCCAACTCCTTCCTGTGCCAAATGCTCAGGGCTCCACTTGTCACCACTCGCCCCTCTCAATGTTGCAGACATTTTATCAGCTGTCTGTCTGGCTTCGCATCACTCTTGTGCTTTCACAAAGTGTTAAATGTTGTGATGTTAATTGATCAAACATGAGATGTTTGAGCAATGATAGTGTTAGTATTGGCATAACTTAGATATATGATTGTTTTTGCAGAATTTATTTGGATGTTAAATTTGACGCTGTCACTTTTTAAGTTTCCCTTTCACTTATTTTTGCTACTTTGCTTGAATATTATATATAATTTTAACAAGAAAATCCTGGAACTATGAAAGATGATGAATGTAAAGGGACAAACTCACAGGAATTCAAGAAACTGTGTAGGAGACTGACCCAATGAATCAGGACATGTTTGTAGAAACTTAAATTCTCATAAACCCTGCCCTATTAAGAGTAATAATAATAATGATAATCCTTGCATTTGATACGGCACCTTTCGAGTCGGGTGCACGTCTCAAGGAGCTTCACAGGAATTTATGTAAAGTATACTGACTGTATTTTGCAGGTAAACGTGGCAGCCAATTTGTGTACAACAGTTTTTTACAATAGCCATGAAGTAAATGACCAATTTTATCTGGGAACTTTTGGGGGAATATATTGAAAATAACTTTTCTTTACAATTTCTTGATCTACAATATCTCCAGTGTTGCTGCAGCCATTCTGGACAGTCAAGTTCATTTCATTTCTGTCATTTCTGTCACTCCAGTTGATGATTTATGACTCTTGTTATCATTACACTGAGAAATGTCAAGGTGGTGTAAGTAACTTCCTTTTTGATTTTCCTTCTGCAGTCTGCAAAGCTGGATGCATTCTTCTTTAATTATCTTTAACAAGGCCACAGAGTCTTAACTAGACCTTTTCCACCGTTATTAGTGCAAATATTTGTACCAGTTTCTGTGGAATGTGGGGAATGGCTATGAATCGAATTGTTCTTTAGCTCAATTTCCTGCCATTCCACCCTTGACCTTGAACATGCCACTCAAGTTAATGATCTGAAGAATGTCAGGCTCAATGTGTCGTTTTGATGATGCATGTCATAGCATAACATCCATATGTCTTTCACTCCTCACTTCAATGATCCTGTGTTGCTCTCTGCTTTCAGGATATATTGCCCAAAAAATTGTTTGCAGGAAAACCCTCACCTTGCTCGGGTGATTGGAACTCACATCTACTCTGATGTAAGTTGCTGGAATATTTCTCTCTAACTCAATATTGTATGTTTTTCTGATGTTATAAAATTCTCCATCCTGAATAACTTGCATTCTTTTCATAGTTTGCAAAATGTTTCATTTAAATGTTACAAAATTGCTCAATAACTATATATATATATATGTTCTGAGCAAAATTTTATGAAACTTACTTCTGTTTATCACTAATTTAAAATTGGTAACTTGAACATTGAGACTTTTAACCTCTGGACTGAGGCATCCATACTCATTGAGAACTGTTTCAAAGGCTGGAGAAACTTTCATCCTGTTTAACTGCATGGGATTCGGAATGGTATCCCAGAGCTGCAAGGACAAGCACATTCCTAACTTCCCTTGTAAAGATCAATATCACAGTGAACATGCAGATGAATCTTGCAATCCCTGGTGTTCCAGACTAATTTGCCTGTGTTCTACTTGAAGTTTAAATCAGAACAAGAGATTGGGAATGCATTCAGGACATTCCTTTTAAAAATTCTTGGGTGTCGGGACTGCAGGATAATGTGCTCCATTGACAAAAGCAGTGCTCAGAAGAATACATTTATTTGTGACCTTCAGTGATGGTGACTTTGGCTTGGCAAAGTAGCTCATTAAATCTCTACCATATACACACGTGCACAAATTGTTGAACTTTGCAGAAGCATATGGAGACATCTTATTTCAACTTGTGTTAGAAAATGCAGAGCAGTCTTTAACCCTCACCTTTAATAATGCTTATGAGTAACTGAGTACACAAAATGTTTCAAGTCAAATGGGGGTAAAAGTTTAGTTCCATCTTAGTTTGAACCTAATTGAAGCATTGAGCAAAAGTAGACTTTGGCAGTGTGCACAAATGGGCATTTAGTTGCCTGCTGATCTGAGCCAATACCTGTAAGTTTTGATTTATCTGTCAAAGGTCCATGTCAAAATAGGTGTCAAAGGGAAACTGATCAAAAAGTAGAAGACAGCAAAAGATAAACTGTGGAATACACAGTGAGCAAAGAATACTCAGACTTAGGACTGTGCCATTTGTGAATTAACTGTTGCTGCTGTCACTCATCCATCCTATGGAAGATTGTATTTTACTGACTGAGTTAATGTTTGTTAAGGGAATTGTACCATTTGCTAACTAAGAAAATCTGTCTGCTGAGTGCCGTGAGACATTTGCCATGAAGCTTTTTGAGATATCCAGCTTGTAAATATTTTTTAATACCAGGGAATACCATTATGTGTTCATGAAGTGTTATCTCAGAAGGATGCCATCCATCACTGACGATAGCTGGTGCTTTGTACTGCCACTACAGCACTTTCCAGAGGACTTGGACCCAGAACCCACATCAATATTTATTGTTGCTTTTATTAGCCAAAGTTCTGTGGAAAGTTTTGGAGTGTACTTAGAGAGAACAAGGCAGGCACAGAGATGCTATTCTTCCAGAACCTAGTTAATGAAGGAAAGTCAAAGTGGTGAAAATGTGCAATGATATAGGGATGGTATTCTCCACAATACAGAGCCATATGGCTCAACACTTGGGAGTGCTTACTTATAAGTAAACAATTTGAAATATTACCAGTTAACACAATGATTCAGTTTCCCTTTCAATTAATATATGTGAGCTAAATGCTGCTATTAGAGTCGTAATGCAAGGACTAAAAGTCAACTTGTGTTTTATCTTATACTATTCATTTATAATAAAGATCAATTCACTCAATGACTAACACAATATTGTGCTGGTGTTCCTTGCACAACTGTGGCATAACTCCTTGGCCCTTTGTGGGACGGTGCTATGTGCAAATTGGCTACAAAATACATAGTCTGAAGCATTTTGAGGTGGTTCAACAACATAAGGTGCTGTATCAAATGCAAGGATTATTATTGTAAGCAAACTTTTCTTTTTAAGGAAAGGCATGAAAAAACCCTTTTTATTATTCCTAGAAGGTATGTTCTTCGTGCAGATAACTGTTTTCATTTCTTTGTTTTTATAGTGGATTCATTCAACCTCTTGATACATTTCCTGGAAATAGAAAATTCAATGGGCAGCCCCATAACCACAATCAGTGAGAGAATGCTGTTGAAATTTTCAAAAAGAATATTAAACATTTTTTACAGGAAATCTTGAGACAGACCTTGAATGTGCTAACGGAGGGACTTCTGGATGGAGTTCCAGAGAGTGAGGGCAAATAGGCTGAATGCCTGCCCCACAAAAGTTGGGTGAGGGACATGAAGTAGCTTGGTGAAGGGTGTGACAGGGTCAGCATGGTTTGAGGGTTTGCAGAGGTAGATAGGGGCAAGACCGTGGAGGAACTTAAAGGAAGGAAGATGTTCTTGAGGTTAGATTAGAGCGGATGACACATAGGACAGACACCAATGATATGTTGTGCATTGAGCGATTCATGCAAGCAATTGTTTGACTGAATGAATCATTCTATTGTACCTAAACTAATGTTGGGAATTGGGTTGCAGCAGTTACACTGCTAAAAATAGTTATTTAGGTCAACGTTCCATCCCAGCTGAAAAGAAAACTAACAGTTTGGGTTTGGTCCACAGTGGAGCTGCCAGCCTTCTTGCCAAGTTCCTAATATTTGTGTCCCTAACTGGGCAACTGTCATGGTTGCAATGCCTGGTTGCCAGTCTCTTAAAAACAAATTGAGTAACCTGTCTGTTTAAAGACAGTCTTTGGCTGGGCTCCCTGAGTCAGCTCAAGCTCCCGGCCAGACATATGCTGTATGGGATTTTCAAACTGGAACCAGTCTATCTATCCAATATCAGTAATGGATAACAACAACAAAATTACATTTGTATAGTGCCTTTCACGTCGGGAGGATGACCCAAGATGCTGGAAAGTCAGAGTTTCGGAGCCGAGCTGGGGCGTCGGGATTGGGGAGAATGGAGAGCAGGTGGGGAAGCAGGGTGATCGAAAGCACGGTCGAAGAGGAGGGTCTTGAAATGGGTCTTGAAGGAGGTAAGGGAAGGGACGAAGTGGAGGGGTTGTGGGATGGAGTTCCAGAAGGTGGGGGCAGAGTGGCAGAAGGCCTGCCCACCAATGGTGGGGTGGGCGAGATGGGAGATGTGAAGCAAGCCGGAGCCTGCTGAACAGAGGGAGTGGGCAGAATGGTAGGGGGTTAGGAGGCTGGAGAGGTAGGGGGGAGCAAGAGCATGGAGGGCTTTGAAGGTGAAGACCAGGATCTTGAACTGTATCCTCTGTGTGATGGGAAGCCAGTGGAGTTGGGCGAGGATGGGTGTGATAGGGTCATGGAGCCTGGTGCGGGAGAGGAAATGGGCTGCAGAGTTCTGGATGATCTGCATCCAGAACCCACACCATTTGATTGTGACCAATAGCTATTTTGACCTCCTATTGTTCAATCTAGTAGACTATAGATTTTCTGGGGATCTATATCAGAACAGTGGTATGTTTAATTTATGAAACAAAGTTCTGGAATATGATTTGTCTCCATCCTTGATGTGTCAGAATGGAGTATTTTGCTTGCCTTTCTTAAAATTACTGCATTTGTCAAAGGCATTCCAGAAATTACATTACCACTTAAATTGTCTTCCCTGGAAGTGATGACATTGGTCTTATGAGTTCCTTTAACTCTCCTACTTTGACGCTGAGGCTTGTTATCATTTACTAGATGATTTGAAGGTGGTGTCCGACAGTAAGTCTTCAGTGAGACATGATTGTGTTCAGATGCCATCATTTGAAACAGCAGTAATAATAATAATAATAATAATAACCCTTGCATTTGATATAGCACCTTATCATGTAATTGAGGTGTCTCAAAGAGCTTCACAGGATATACTGTAAAGTGTAGTGACTGTGTGTTTAGTGAGAGGAACGAGACAGCCAATTGCACACAGCAATGTCTCACAAACAGTCGTGGATTGAGTGACTAAATTATTGTTAATATATATATTTTTGGAGGGATTATTACCCCTGGAAAATCACCCTAATACTATTACCCCAGGACTCATCTCTCTGACAATGGGGATATTCCAAAACTAAACAGCAATAATGTGCCGAGCCACACCAACGAGAAGCTCAGAAGAACAATGTCTACCCTGGTTTAAGTGCACTTTATTCACAACTCATTGTTCAATACATTGCTGTTCTCTCATAGTAAAACCAAGGTGTTGAACCAAGTTTATAATTGGTCATTGGAACAATGTTAGTTTTGAGGGATGTCTCTCTATTCCAAGGTCCGGGCTATAGCCTACTTCCTTCCCCATCTTCAGGTTATGCCTGAAGACTTTCCTCTTCGACCGTGCGTAGAGTCACCTCCCCAATTTCCCCTGGCTCGGTCTCATGCTCCAACACTGTCAAGAGCTCTGACATACTACCCTGTGTGAGGGACCCCATATAAATGCAAGTTGTTGTTGTAGTTCCTATCTTAGAATTGGAATGGTGAGTGTCATTTTCAAATGGCTTCACTACTTTACCAGCAGCTTCACAACAAATAACTTGGGCCGGTTTTCTGCCCCTGCATGTGGAATGGCGACTGTGCCACAGTATTTTAGGACGATTTCTTTTCAAGTATGACTAGATTTGAGACTAATCTGCCTTTATCAACAGAATTATTCGTCACCAGGTTCAGAGAGTGCATAGCAAAATAACAGCAATAATAGTCAGAACCCCTGTCTTATGGTCCTCACGGTATAGAACCAAAGTGATGTTAATTGCTGCAGATTGGATTTATTAGGTTCTTGGAATAAATCCATTCACTTGTGTCCACCCAATTCATGTTCACAGGAGAATGGCAATCTTTGACCAAAACAAAATCTGAAAAGGTCATAGAGAGGCCCTGACTGCTGAAGCACTTAATGCAGGATGTCGTCTGAACTGCATCCTTCCTAAATGCAACCCAATCTACCATTAGGGAAGAGATAAGCGTTTAGGGAACTGAAGCTCCACCACAACTACACACGTTTTCCTTTTGTCCTTTATGTTTTCCTTCTGTCCTTGACTTTATTAAGCTGATCATGCCGGGAATAATTTCAAGGCTAACTCTAAATAAGAAGGTATCACCTGCTTCACTTGCAAAACTGTTTAAAACCTGTCCTGCAGGCCCACGGCAATCCTTTCCTTTTCCCCAGGTCAAACAAAAGACCTTTTTTTGAAGCAGTATAGTTTGTTTTGATAGCTTCGAGTAATACTTTTTTTCACCTTTGGGAGTAATTGTTCTTTAACCGTGTTTTTTCTTAAAAATCTGAGATCGTTCAGACAATTTCAGTTTGATTTTCACCCTGTTCCGGAATACTGTTAGTGTATTAACCCTTAGAGTGATTTAAATCTACATCAGGGTGTGATTTTTTGCCTGAGTGTTGTCGAAGTTTATTCACATTCACTGCCCACCCACGTCTGATTTTCTGCTTTGAAAGCAGATCTGAGAATGTCCTATAAAGGTCTTTTAACATAGGAATAAAACAAAGTGTTAACTTGATGTAAATTTATGTCAGCGCATGAGGCGTTAAACGAAGGTCCCATCCACCTCTTCTGGTGGACATTAAAGTTCCCATGGCACTATACAAAAAGAGAAGAGAGTTTCTCCTCGTATCCTGACCAACAATTCCCCCAAATAAAATCACTTATTCATTCATGGCTGTTTATGGGCTATTGCTGTGCACAAATTGGCTGCCTTGATCGCCCACAAAATTCACAGTCACTAAATAACAGTATATCCTGTGAAGCCCTTTCAGACGCCTCAATGATATGAAAAGATACTAAATCAAATGCAAGGATTAGTTTTTTTTAAACACTTTATTGCTTTTTCAACTTCAGCAATTACTTTAATTGTGAAACACCAATCAAATGAATAAACCAAGAGTCTGTACTGGTTTTGAAGTTACTGTCATGTGAATTACCCTGGTACGTACTTTGTTACTTCTACTGTTTACAGTATTTGTTTTTCTTTACTGTTGCAACAGCCAGCTTTGTTGAATAAGCTAAACTTACAAATGCTGTTGATTCAACTTTCAGCTGAAAGTGGTCATCATTTGAATATTTGTGTAATTTTTTAATATAATTTTGAAATATGCCCTAACACAATTTGCAGTGAGTTCTGATACAGTAACAGAAAGGCTTAGCATTGCATTTGACAGTGCAGATTATGTTAAAGCTGTGCAAAATGAAAAGTTGTCTGATTAGATGTCTCTGGTCTCCTGAATGTTACTGAATGGCGGTAGAAAGGAGAATGATGAATTGAGCACAGTGATAATCGGGGTTCAGTGACCTACAAAACTCAGTCCAAGTGTGCTCACAGTGCGGCAATAAAGAGTGGTTATATAATCCATCATGAAGTGTTTATATTGGCTTATGCAATGCATTAAATAGCACGTGCATGCGAGGAATGACACTGGAAGACAAGGAAATAACTGCATATAGCTGTATTTGACTGATAGAATACAGAATTTGCTCTGTCTAAGCACCACCACTTTTGTTAAGCAGAGTGAGCCAGATGTAAAGAATGTTAATGTGTTCACCAGATGTCAATATTATTTAAATTACTCCATTATATTTGAATCACAGCAAGAGCCTCAGATTGATCCTTATGATACTTAACTATTCACTCTGAGCAGTTAAATCAAACACGTGCATGGTCTTGACTCAACCTTTTGGGTACTCTTAAAATCTTTTGGGTTCTAACGCCAGATAAACGGGTAAAGGGAAACATTCCTGATTAGGTTTGACTGAGTGATTTTAAATCCTTGTCGGAAGACGCACTACACATAAAATATTTTAATAGCTGCAGCAGCTGTCTGTTTTTTCCAAGGGCTTCAGTTATATGAATTCTTACCAAAATGTATATGGCCCAATTGCTCCGGGAATAATAATCCTTGCATTAGGTATAGCATCTTATCACGTCTTTGAGACGTCTCAAAATGCTTCACAGAATATACTGCAATGTGAATTGACTGTTTATTTTGTGGGCAAAACGCAGCAGCAGCCAATTGTGCACAGCAGCATCCCTTAAACAGTTGTGGATTGAATAAATAGAGTCAGACCCTTTTACCCTGAGATTCATATGTGTGAGTTCCATCTTGGATTGACCTGTGCCCTCAGCTCCCCTCTTTGGGAGGAAGGATTCAGAGTAGGTCGGGTCAAGAGAGGGACTGTAAGTTAATTGTAGAGTGAGTATACCTGAGATTGAATCCTTACCACACTAATAATGATAATAATAATAATAATAATGAATAATGCTCATATTTGATATAGTGCCTCTTGTTGTCGAGATGGCTCAAAGCGTTTTATGGGATTTTATTGTGACTGTATTAGTAGACTTACGTGGCAGCCAATTTGCACCAATGATGTGAGTGACTAATTTTGTCTGGCAGTATTGTTGGCCAGGACACTGGAAGAAAACTTCTTTCTTTTTTCCAATAATACGTTGAGATCTTTAATGTCCACCCTAACAGGCAGATGGCACCTCGCTTTAACATCTCATCCAAAGTTTACTGAAGTCCCAACCATACATACTCAGACCTGAGTTATCATTTTGTAGTTTTTAAGTACTTTCATGGAGAAATTTCTCCAATGATGAAGTATTTTATACTTAAGAACATTATTGGTTATTTCATAATTTACATGCCTAAGTTTAAAAGGGAGGACCTGAAACAGCGAGCGGCAATGCCAATTTAAATTACCTTCTTTTGTTTCCTCAATGCTGCAAGCTATAATTTAACCGTGCTTCCTACGAGTAAGCTGAATCATTAACCTTTACAATACTTAAACACTTTGAAATGTTATCTGTGTGAAACACAAATCTACATCCCAGGGTAATTTTTTTTTGCTTCTTCAAAAGTACTTGCAAAGTCACGGCACATCTTAAGAATTGCAGTTCCTCATTATTCCCAAACCCCTTCTTTACTTTTTGGGGTCGCCTTAGATTTGAGTAAACAAGGTAAGTGTGAGGCGTTGTTGGGTACTTTGTTTTTGTTTTGGGAATTATTTTTGAATTGGAGCTCAGGTACAGATCTCATAGAATGGCGGAACAGGCTTGAGGAGCTGAATAATAATAATAATCCTTGCATTTGATATAGCGCTTTTCATGTTGGGTGGGCATCCCAAAGCGCTTCACAGAACACACTGTAAAGTGAATTGACTGTATATTTGTGGGCGAACGCGGCAGCCAATTGCGCACAGCAATGTCCCACAAACAGTCGTGGATTAAAAATGACCAATTTATTATTGTTTTGTTTATTGCAGGGATTATTATCAGGTGTGTGGAGTAAGGAAACTTGCCCAAGGTTTCGCCCTGACCTGGAATTGAACTCAGGTCTCTCACTTGCAAAGCGAGTGCTCAACCACTGAGCTACAGGGCTCCATGAATGGCCTAGTCCTGTTCCTACGTTTCTTACATAGCTTTCAGTTAGCTGTTCAGCCAAGCAGTGCTGCACAGATTTGTTTCATTGTGTAAAATGCGTTTGTATTTTTTTCTCTCTCTCTGCAGAGGTCCAGTATTTGCAGGACAGCCGTACATGCTGGGATCATTCGCAACCATCTAGGCGGGTACATTGACATCATGCCGATTGACAAGAAGAAATATTACAGTGGTTCATACCAGAACGGAATCTTCTCTGAAAGGTCAGAACAACAAACTAAATCAGCAGACTTAGTTGGAAACCAAACGTATGGTTAAAACAAATGTAATGTTGAAACGAGCTGGTAAATCACAGCTCACCTCATTGGGTAGAGTGCAACGTGAACAGGCTGGAAAAAATGTATCCGATCCAAATGTGCTGTGAGGTATTTAATGAAGTCAGTGGAAAGGGTTTGGTATGCAGAACTGCCTGGCTCCTGTAAGCTGATAAACACATATCCCCAAAAAGCGGCTTACTAATGCTGCTTCGCAAGGTATTTTTTCATATAGTTGTTCACAAAGTCTCTGGACTTTATAGGTCAAATACTGTAGGAGTCATTTTAATTTTCCACCATTAATTCATTGCTTGTGTTACGCACCAGTTATACAATGAAATTTTGTTAATTTAATACTCAACAACAACCTTTGTATAGCACCTTCATGACAAGTGGACCTTTCAAGGTGCTGGATAGTCAGGGATCCTCAACCGAGCTGGTGGTTGGGATCAGGAGGAGTAGAGGGCAGGTAGGGTAGGGGTAGGAATGATGGAGAGGAGGGTCTTGAGACGGGTCTTGAAGGAGGCAAGAGAGGGGGCGAGGTTGAGGGACTATGGGATAGAGTTCCAGAGGATGGGGGCAGAGAGGCTGAAGATCCACCTGCCAATGGTGGGTGGGCGAGGTGGAGGACGTGAAGCAGGCTGGAGCCCGCTGGCGGAGGGAGTGGACAGGATGGTAGGGGGTTAGGAGGTCATAGAGGTAGGGAGTAGCAAGGCCATGGAGGGCTTTAAAGGTGAGGAGCAGGATATTGAACTGTATTTTCTGTGTGATGGGAAGCCAGTGGAGTTGGGCAAGGCTGGGGGTGATGGGGTTGCAGAGCTTGGTGCGGGAGAGGACACGGGCTGCAGAGTTCTGGATGATCTGCAGCCTGTGGAGGGAGCACTTGGGGAGTCCAACAAGTAGGGAATTTGTATAGTTGAGCCTCGATGTAATGAAAGTGTGGATGAGGGTCTCGGCTGCCTGCGGTGAGTGACAGTGGCGGAGCCGGGCAATGTTGCAGAAGTGGGGAAAGGCAGAGCGGGTCATGGAACGGATGCGGGGTATTACGGACAGTTGATGGTTGAACAGGATGTCAAGTTCCGTATTGGCACCTTGAGGTGTAGAGTGCATCCATGAAGGGTGATGCCATCAGCCCCTGAGGTAAGGAGATGATTATGGGAGCCAAGCAGGAGGGCCAGTGGAAATTATTCAATAAAGCAAACTATTCATGTAAGTAAACTAAGCAGAAGAGGAGACTAACCAGGGATATGAATTATCAACTTATGAAATAGAGACAGATGTCTTTTTAATAACTTTAAAAATCTAACATACAGTATTGGAGTTCATGGGTGCCTTTTCTTGCACAAGTACAGCCCTCTCCTCAGCTCTGGTCAATGTGAATAGGAGTTGGAAGTTCATAAATGCCCCTCCTTTCTCATAATAACTTTATTACTGGAAGCGATATTGCTGAGATTCCAACAGTACAAAAGGGTTATTAATCTTGAATATGGCATCAACCTGGATGTTTAATGTTGTTTAATCCTTGAGAAATACAGTCTGATCAACAAGCAGTGTACAGTTCCACTATATTTTAGTATATTGCACTTGCAAGGCTTGTGCTATATTTAAGTTTTTACACACAAAGGGGCTTATTCTCTGCTTGTCAATGAATGTACTGATTTTGTGTGAGCTTGCATTATTCTCCAATTGGTCAGACAAATTGACTGTGGTGGGTGGGGAATTAGTAATGGGACTTTTAATGAATAGAAAATAATACAGGTCTATTTCTAGTATTGTTAATTTACTTTTATTTTGGTTGGCTGGGTGTCTGACACATGTAGAAACCCATCGTAATGCTGAACATTATCCAGACAAGACTGAGAGTTCCACATATATATGTTATTTGCACATGGAAATTTCCCTCTGTCTAAAATGCACACTCTCTCCTTGGAGACGCACCTTCTGCTTTACCAAGAATAGTATTGGGTAGAGATTGCATTTCCTGCTGATAATTCTCATTATATTAGCCCACAAAATACAGTTAATACGCTTTGCAATATATACTGTGAAGCCAAAGGCTTGTGGGCCTCAGAGTGTCAGTGGGGTATTGCTGGAGTAGGTCCAGCTAAAGCTGCACAGCTTGCCGTTGAAAGTATTGTCTGACAAGCTTTCTGTTGCTTCTTCAGCTAGGACCACCCTACCTGTAAATTTACTGATCATTAGAATAAACCTCAGAGTTTGAAAAGTCCCAATAAATCACTGATTTTGGGGCGTGTTGATCTGTGCTTTTAGGGATATTACTAAACTAGATATGTGTTTCTATTGGGGAAATACCATTATAAGTGTATCCTGCTAATTTTGGAAATATCTCCAGTGGCAATAGTGTGTTTATCGGAAAATACGGCAGTGTAAGTGGTGCTTTGTATCAGAAAAGTGCCTCTCGATGTAAAGATACATTCATAACTATCTTTATCGTTTTATCAAATGCATAGAGTGAATTTTTGGATAATAACAATAAGACGTCTCAAAGCGCTTCACAGAATATATTGTAAAGTGTATTAACTGTGTATTTTGTGAGCAAAAATACAATATAATGAGAATTATCTGCAGGGAATGCAGTGCTGTGAACTCAGAATCAATCCATGAAAAAATAGTTTTAATATTTATTTGTTTTTAACTCCTTTCTTCTAGCCTTAGGAATCCACCCGGAGGCAAAGCATTCAGAATATTTGCAATCATCTGATTCTGGTGAGAAAAGCACATGCTAATAAAGGCAGCACTTGGAAGAAAGAAAAGAAAGGGAATGTGCAAACTATTTCCTGTACTTTTTTGCTCCGTTGTGATTTTTGGCAGAAAGTGTTCAACTCATTACAAACCCTGTATCTTGCATTACAAAAGAGTGTTGCTGATCACCCAAACACTGCTGAGAGGCCCTTAGTAAATTACCAGTAAATGTACCCTTGTAAATTGTATACATTTTTTAAAAAAATTGCCTTTCAAAGTTACTGTTACTTAACAGAATGCTGCTAACCCCACGACACAAATAAAATAGAAACAAAGCTGAAAACCAAGATTGGATGGGATTTGATGTAAGAGCTGAAGGCTTTGACAACCTGGCAGGCCAGGAAGTACATTATATTATAGTAACATACTCATCTAGATAGATATAACCAGCTTCCCTTGTACAGACAATACCTTAAAACCTAGGATATATGTCACGCCTCAGTCGCTTTTCTCTCTTTTTAAATCATTCAAGCTTGCAGACCAGTACTATGTGTTTATTTAAAAATAAGTAACCCATTGGAGAACAATAAAAGGCAGCTTGTGCACAAGTAGAGTTTTACAAAAGATATTTGTTGGTATGTCTGTGGTGAGCAAAGTATGGTGTGATATTTAGATCATGTGTGCTATGGTATACAAAAGATCGAATGTTGACCTGTTTCCATGGAAAGAAAAATGCTGTGCTTTTAAACTGCAAAGCTGATTACATTTATTTATATTATTCTGATGGTTTTGGTGCCTTTTGTACTCGTAATGTTTAAACATTTTAGGAAATCTGCCTCTCAGAGAATGCTTATCTGCCAATATGTATCTTCACTACCTCAAATACTCGGTTATACTATATGTGCTCAAACAGACTTCTATTTACAATGTAAAAGTGCTTTTCTCTCTCTCTTGTAGTTAGTCAAAGACCTTTAAAAAGCAAAATGTGTTACCGTTCAACTTGTCATGAGTTGGTGTGAATGGATCCAGGATTTAGTACTGTACAGTAGCGAGGGTTATTTTCCCACAGAAGGATATGGCGTCTGAAATTAAAATCAATTGTAAATCAGCGAAAAGACAAATGATATTACAGAATTCTCACTGCTACTTCAATTCTTTCCCATCTTTGTTTTTCTTTTAATGAAGCCTGAAAGAACTCCATCTACTGTATCTGCTCACTGTGTCTGTGTGTAGCAGTCAGATAACAGCTGTACAATCTCACCTACATTTGATGGAGTGTGTCAGTGTCTGATGGTAACTAGAAGTTAGGTTCAAATTCCTCGTTTGAATTTCTGTGCAAATGTGCCTGCTGTGCTTCTTTCTGTGTAGTTTTGAAATAGATGGTTTGGAAAAAAACACGTTAGCCAGTTGTGCCTGAATCTTGTACCCCATTTGATAACATTTTTATCACAGTCCTATAGCAGTATGTTGAGCTTACTGAAAATATTTATTGTATGCTACTAAATCTGTACAGTTCAAATAAAAAAAGACCAACCTATTAATGTCAAAGCAAAATTGTTTTTTTTTATTCATATTACTCTTGGGAAGAGGTTTGTATCTTCGTTACGTGCTTTGGAAGCAAATGCCTTGCTTTCTTCCCCTCTCAGATTCATGACTCTGTTTCAGCCATTCTTTTTCTTACAATTTAAAAAAAACACGCATCATCTAATACTGAGTTTCTGATGGAACTGAAGACATGTTCCAAACAATGCATGTTGGACGTGGAGCAAAGAATGAAGAGATAAACTTAATTTTCTGAATCGCTCAAAGACTTTGCTTCAACGACTGGATCTGAATCAATTCCATCCACAAAGAATGGTATTGTAGGAGTTGATTTTAAATCTCGCTGCTGAGCAGGAGATATCCTTTGCTTGGCACAGCTAGCTGATCACAGAAAACTCTTAGTGAAAGGCACAGATCCCCTTTTCCCCGAGAGAGCTCAGCTGAATTCAGCAAACTTGTTCAAATAATTCACTTTGTGGGACATTGCTGTGCTCAAATCGGCTGCTGCATATGCCTACAACATAGAGTCGCTGCACTTCACAATAAATCCTGTGAAGCACTTAGAGATGTCCTCCTGCCCTGAAAGGCACTATATCAAATCAAGGAATATTATTATTATTATTACTGTTATTATATCCTACCTGTACAGCAGCATAATTATCAAAGTATATCCCTCCTATTTTTATATCACTTGGTGATTAAAGACACCTGGTCTCTCAGATAAAGCTGTAGCCCTTTTTATATGTGTGACAGGAATCGAGGAATGTGTCCAAATGGCACTCACGGTGGGCGGTTCCAGGAAGCATGTTTCATTCCTTGGATCTTGGTTGTTGTCTCATCCTCCCTTACTATGGTTAGTTTTTCCAACACATAAATGCTACCAGAGGAATGGTACCCTTTGAAATGCTTGAATCTGATACTTAATAATGATAATAAAAATCCTTTCATGTTGAGGATGCCTCAAAGCGCTTCACAGGATATACTGTAAAATGCAGTGATTGTAGGCATAAGACAGCAGTGGAAAAGAAAATACACCAAGTTGTTGACAGGCAGACTTGCCGGATAAGAGCAATATCCAGACAGCTATCTTACAATCTGTAACCTGTAATCTTAATAATAGATTGTTTGTTTGCCTACAAAATAATAATAATTCTTGCATTTGATATAGCGCCTTATCACACCTTTGATACACTTCAAAATCCTTCACAGAATATAAAGTAAATTGACTGTATATTTTATGGGTGAAAAGCCCAATGCAGTGCACAAAATGCACAGTAACTACACTTTACGGTGAATCAACGTGAATCCTTTCCACTTCAACCTGTTTATGTGAAGAGTTGAATTTCTGTAAATCAAGAAAATTCTACTTATATACGAGAAATGTCTAGTCAGTCAACATAACAAATAAACATCCAGACATTGGTGTTATTTGAGAATACCACTGTATTTGATTTGTAATAATAATCTTTGTATTTAATATAGCACCTTATCATGTTACTGAAATGTCTCAGAACACTTAATAGGATTTAAAGGAGAGTTGAGTGACTGTATTTGCTGGCAAATGGAGGCCAATTTGTGTCATCAATGTCCCACGAACAGGCATGAATAGGTTTAATGATCAATTTTATCTGGAAGATTGTTGACCATGACACCAGGAGAAACTCCCTTGTCTTTTTGAGTAGTGCCATGGGATCTTTAACCTGAATGGACAGACGGGACTTCAGTGTAATATCTCATCCAAATGACACCAACAATGTAACTGGCCCATAGCACTGCACTGAACTGTTCAACCTAGATTATGAATTCAAAGTGCTGATATAAAGCTTGAACTCAAAACCTTCTTACTCAGAAGTGAATGTATGACCAACTGAACCAGGCTGACACCTCTCTTACACCTCATGATACATCCCCTCCCCCCTCTTTGCTGTACTCTCTGGATTTCCCTTTGCTCCAATGATGTGCCTAAAGAAAGAATTTATGGTATTGGGCATTCTCTTGAGGCAACCACAACCACAACAGCTGCTCCTGACCTGTTTATACAGCCCTTTCCGGGAATATCAGTGTGACAGGGGAATAAACCTTCTCCCTGCTTTCAAGGATAGTGATGCTCCACTTAGGTGTAAAAGAGAGTGTTTTTTTGAGATGTTCAGAAAAAGATGCCTCAATCAAGGTAGCTAACAAGGGGAGGACTCCAATCAGGATTGTTTGAAGTTCAGCACACAAGTGTGAATTGGGCAATAGCATCCACTTAATGAATCAGCACCAATATATAGCTGGGCACTAGAAAGAGATGGGAGAGTCTGGAGAAGACGCCTGCGAAAAGTGATAGCTTCCTTATCAAAATAAGCCTTTTGTTGTTAAAACCCTTGGTGCAAGTTTTGTTTTCTGGGCATGAACTATGCTCTCTTACAATCGTTTCTATTGGACTGGATAAGGAACTGCAAAGCCGTACATATTTAAGAAGGATGTATTGCACAAGAAAAGGCTAACTATCTATATTTATGTGTTAGTCACACCTTGTTGCTAAATATATTTATTTCCATTTTGGTTACCGATGTTACTGTCAGATCAGCTGTGCTACTTCATTTACTTTGTTCTAGGCCCTGTAGATCAGTATTTAGAGCACTCGCCTCACAAGTGAGAAAACTGGGTTTGATTCCCGGCAGGGCGAAATGTTAGGCAAATTTCCTTACTCCACATTCAGTGAATTGGAAAGGGATCTAGCCAAGGTGGACTGGAAAGAAAGATTGGGAGGTAAATCGGTAATGAGCAATGGGAAGCCTTCAAAGAGGAGATAGTTCAGGAACAGAACAAATACATTCCCACGAAGCAGAAGGGTAGAGCATCCAAAGCTCCCTGGATGACTAAGGAAATTGGGATTAAAATAAAACAGAACAAGGAGGTTTATAATAAATGTCAGGTCCAAAATACAGAAGATAATCAAATAGAATATAGAAACTACAGAGGAGAACTGAAAAAGGAAATAAAAGGGGCAAAGAGATTGTATGAAAAAACATTAGCAGGTAACATAAAAGGGAACCCTAAAGTATCATAAGCTTGTAAAGAATAAAAGGTTAGTCAAAGGTAGGGTGAGGCCGATTAGGGACCAAAGAGGAAATCTTCTTGTGGAGGCAGAGGGTATGGCTGACGTACTGAATGAGTACTTTGCATTTGTCTTCACATAAGAGGGTACAGCCAATACCACAGTATCGGAGGAGAGGGTAGAGAAATTGGATAGGATAAAAATAAACCGAGAAGAGTTACCAAAAAGGTTGACGGTGCCCAAGGTAGATAAGTCACCCGGTCCGGTCGGGATGCATCCTAGGTTACTGAGGGAAGGAAGGATGGAACTAGTGGAGGCTCTGACCACGATCTTTCAATACTCCTTGGATATCACGGTGGTGCCAGTGGACTGGAGGGTTGCAAATGTTACTCCCCTGTACAAAAAGGGGGAGAAGGATAAACCTGGGAACTACAGACCAGTCAGCCCAAAGTCAGTAGTGGGGAAACTTCTAGAGACTATAATCCTGGACATTCCTGGTACCATTCTGCTTTTCCCAGAATGGTACCAGGTATGAGGGACTTCAGTAATCAGGAGAGGCTAGAGAAGCTAGGATTATTCTCCTTGGAGCAGAAAAGGCTAAGGGAACATTTAATAGAGGTGTTCAAAATTATGAGGGGATTTGATAGGGTGAACAGGGAGAAACTGTTTCCATTGGCAGGTGGATTGGTAACCAGAGGACACAGATTTAAAATAGTTGCCAAAAGAACCAGAGGGGAGGTGAGGAGAAATTTTTTCAAACAGTGAGTTGCTGTTCGTGGGACATTGCTATAAACAAATTGGCTGCCGTGTTCACTTACAAAATACAATTACAGCGATTCCTGCAAAGTGCTTTGAGACACCCTCCCAGTGTGAAAGGCACATTATCAATGCAAGCATTATTATTATTATGCTAAGTGAGAATCTTTATGGACTATAATTTAAAACAGTTTAATGCCTTACATTTCAGCGGGCTATATTTTGATATTATTCCATTGAAAGAAGAAAGAGAAGCTTGTATTTTATAACAATCTTGTCGAAACATCTCCAAGTGCTTTACCGTATTTATTGGAGAATCTAATGACTGTTTTTGGCGGCAAACATAGCAGTAATTTTTGCGCAAATCAATGTCCCACAAACAACCATGTAGTTAATGTCCAGTTTTACCTGGAGGATCAATGACCAAGAATAGTGTCATGAGATCCTTAACATCTACTTGAAGAACAGACAAATGGGGGCTCATTTTTAACATCTCATTTTAACAACTTGCCCAAATGACAGCAGCTATGACAATGTACCACTTCCATATAACTGCCCTGGAGTTTCAGATGACTGTGAATATTGATCCCTTTGACACCCAATCTTCTGACCCAAAGGCAAGTGTTACCAACTGACACATAAGAAACTTTAGTCAGTGCATTAAGTGCATCTCCTGCTAGGCTCCACAACACAGCTTTGCCAGAATTTAGTTCTGTTGATATTCCAATACACAAAATTCTCACCCTTGATGGATATCTGGGTACACCTTGATCTTGAAAATGCTGAATTGGTAGTTTGTCACCACTAGTAACTTATTTAGTTGCATTTTCCCCTTCCCTTCCTGCCTTAAAGACCCAGCTCAAGACCATCTCTCCAACTTCATTTTTGGCCACCTTTGCTCCCCACTTCTCCTCAGCAACAACTATCTTCCGCCCCGGCTTTCCCTGGTTCGGGCTAGCAGTCAGCTGTGTGAAAAGACATTTTCCCGACATGAAACGCACCTTATGAATATAAATTGTTGTAATCCCTAGATAAATGAGAGGCATCTGGCAATTTTCTCCTGAGGACATTTTAACTTGTATTTTCCTTTTATTGAATAAGTTAACGCAGGTGCACTCCTACACCTCTCTCTTGTGGCACTTGTTCATGTGCGAGCCTTGACAGTGGTGGGGGTTGGCTGGTTATTCTACCAAAGAGGGCAGCAC